TTGTATAGAAACTGTACCACGTTTAATGAGGCATCTTGATAAACTTAATGTGAATGTCCAGAAAATTTCCTCCAGACCTGTTCCTCTCGACGTTTTCTTTTCTTTGAATACGTATTTTCTCGATACGCAGGCTGGGCAAACGGATTTTGCACGTGTGGGCCTCATTTTGCAGACAAACCGTCGCAGCGCAATCGTAGAGCATCTGCCGTTGCGCAGCTGAAATATCCATTGAAATCTTATTGTGGGATTGCTTTTGGCTAGTATAGCTATTGCCTTAAGCCTAGTTCACATGCAGCGGTTTTGGCCCTAGAGCGGCGCGATTTCTGCCGTCGCGGCGCTCTGGCCAGCACCAGCAATTCTGCGGCACGAGCGCCGCGACGGCAGAAATCGCGCCGCTTTAGGGCCAAAATCGCTGCATGTGAAACACGCTTTAGGTCGACTAGGAAATTAATATTTGTGCAAAACGTTTATAGCGTTGCTTGAAAAGCACGTTCATATACTTTTTACAGTGCAAATATTAGCTGCTCCGATATACATCTCAAATGATTTAAAAGAAAATCCATAGATTTCAGTGGTATGCAAAACAAGTCTGAAGATTCCCGGTGATTTGTGAAGCTTTATTTTCAAAGGGGTAGGCAAGCATAATGGGCAGCAATGTCTTGTTATTTTCGCTTAGCCGAGAATGATGGCTTAATAGGCAATCATTTCCCGGTCAAGTGCCCTTCCATTTTCGAACAGGCAACGGTCTAGCTCCTTGCCAGTTTCCGAGTAGGCCGCAATCTGACTTGCTGTAAAGTTGCCAGTTGATGGAGACGACAGAGTTACCACAATGTTGATCCGCTAATACACAGAGGCGAGGTCATCGGCATACTTGTTGCAGATTCTGCTGTATATTACTCGAAAGGGAGCAGATTCACACCATTCATTGATGTGCAAACCGTGAAAACAGAGCGAGCATTGGATTCCCAGAGTGGTCGCCATTCGACAAAGCGTTGCCCCCATGGCAATGAGGTTCTGGAATCTGGGTGCATTGTAGTGGGCCAATGTATACAGTGGCCCATCTGGCACAGGGGCTTGCATACGAGCAGGGGCGGATTTAGGGGAGGGGGGGCAGAGGGCAAAGGCTCCCCAAAGTCAACTTCATTCATATAAAACCATTGATATACCCCAGCCAAAACTCGTTTTTGGTGACATAGCAAATATTGGGTCAACAGAATAGATCTGGGCGATGTTTAGGCCGTAACTTCATTGCCACCCCCTCGCCTCCGCCAGCCGAATGCCTACCACCCCTCCCAGGCGTGACCAAGTCCGCCCCTGAATGCGAGCGACAAATAATCGGCCCTGCAGTGCCTGGAAGCAGTGCCATAGCAGATAGGTGACTAACTTTTGCAAAAGCCAATTCTTATGCCTTGCAGATGCACCAAACCACAGTACTAGAAGATTGGTGCTGCAGCACCGGCACTGGGGAGGCACTGCAGCATCGACTGGTCACCTCTTGCATATTCTCTTTGCAGGTATAGGGCACCTATAGAAAAGTTTCCACAAGAAATTTCGCTGCAGATGATGCATGCTTATCAAGACAGAAAGGGCGTACATGCCAAATCAAATATTCCACAATATTTTGAGCGACCTCGACTGTGTCAAGGAGTGGCAAAGGCAGGGGGTGGTTTGGGGGGTCAAACCCTCTCCCCCACCTGAAATAATCTTTCTTTTCTTTCTTTCAGTAAATAACAAATGGTTAACGACTACTGAATTGTTCCAGCCAGCCGGAGGAAGTTGGGGACGGCAGTGTCAGTACCCACGAATTGTACAGTACGTCGACTACTACACACGAAGATGGGACAAAGCCCCCCACCCCTCCCCCCCCTTGTTCATAGAAATAACAAACCCCCCCCCCCCCCCCCTCTAGAAATATAATTCCTGGCTACGCCACTGGTGTCAAGGCCCGATGGCATTCACCACTCATCAATGCAGTGGTCATTTCTTTTATTAAAAAAAAAAAAAAAAAAAGCACGTCTGAGTTTCGTCGAAGTTAATGGGAGTTGTAAGCAATGATAGAGTGCAGGCAAGCTGGTAATAAATCGACATCTTGTGGACCTTGAGATGGGGAACAATAAAAAACCGGATGAAGACAACAGAATCTCAAATGCAGCTGAAAATTTATGATTTGAGCACACCAATAAATAGACTTCCAAACACATGAAGAAAGAGAAAGGGAAAGAAGGAACTCAACCGCATAAACAAGAGAGTAACGAGTTCGACCCAGACAGCATAAGCCACTCCCCGGCTCCACACCTTTGGAAAGGGAACCGCCACCCGAACAACAACCCCAAGGTCCAACACACAAGGACCTCCAAACCGCTAAAGGCTAAGCTCAATTTCCTACTTCCAAGCAACCGCTTCCCAGTCCCGTCCCGTCCCCTCCCGTCACTTCAAGTTTACAGGCCCCCTCCCTCACACAAGGGAAAAACTCTTTCATCCGATCACTGATAACCACAGACTGCTGGCCTGGCTTACACAATTCCCCCACTCACGGATGCACAGTCTCCTGCGCATCCGTGAGTGGGGCTACAAGTGGGGCTGATAATGGCCGTCGTGACAACACGACGGCCATCATCAGCGAGGGAGGCACGACAGAGCCGGTCGCCATTAAAGCAGGGATTGGGCAAGGCTACCCACTCTGTGGGCTCCTTTTCAACCTCGTGCTGGACCCGGTGACCCGGGCGGTGCAGGGAGGCCAACGGCAGCACAAAATCCTGGCCTACACCGACGATCTCACCCCCATGGGAAGCAGCCCTGCAGAGCTTCAAACAAGGATCAACGTCGTCACCGCACTGTCTTCCAGGCTCAGGCTCCAGCTGAACCCATCCAAGTGCCAAACCCTTCACTTGACGGGGCAGCATCCTGTAGGCACGAGGCCTACAACGTTTCACATCGGGGAAGCAGAAATTTCCCACATGACAGACTTCGAGGCGCACTTTCCTGGGCCGCCCCTTGGGCTACAAGGTCCTGCCCGACACCGCCTGCGTGGACGACGCAATCGCCCTGAGGAGATGCCTGCTGTCATCAATGCTGGCTTCCAGGCAGAGGCTGGATGCTCCGAAAACATGCCTCTACCCGGCCTTTGATTTCGCCATGAGAGTGGGGCCGTGGGAATAAATGACGATGCCGAGACGACACCCTGCAGCACCTCATCGAACGAACGCTGTACCTGTCAGGAAACTCCCTAAACAAATAACTCTATGGGAGTGCAGGTGCAGGAGCTGCAGGGATCCCGGAAGCAGCCGACATAAGCGACGCGTGCCGCATTGATGGCACGTTCAAGCTGCTTTCGTTGCCAGACAGCAAGGGGCTTGACCTGGTACTGCAGACGGTGACCAGGCTGACGGAGAAGCGGCTCAGGAGACCAGTCGCAGCAGAAGACGTGGTGGCCTGGCTGTCCGATGACACCGAAGGGGACTTCAGAGCAACGTCAACGCAGCTCCAGTCGGCGTGACCTGGGAGCTGGTGCTCGAAGGAGCCAGGATCGCCTACGGAGGAGCTGCCATCTCCCCCAAGCATCGCCACAAGGTGATCCGGACATTTCGAGGCATCATATTAGCAGCGAACGACACAGCGCTGCACCAACAACCCAGCCAGGGAAAGGCAATGGAGTGTTGCCGCTGGCCGTGCCAGATCTCTCTTCGTGCAATCGGGGCGATACATCAGTTTCACCGACTGGCGGTTCATCCACCGGGTCCACACCACCACTCTCCTGCAACTTGAAGTTGTGCTTGAACACACCACAATGAGGCAGGAAGCCCTTCTGACACTGTGATAGTATACAGAAGTTACACAACCATTACCGAAGCCAAGATGTGAATTACTTTATATACAGCTTTGCAATTGTGCGGCAAGCTACAGGGCACTAGTTTATAGATCTTGCCAGTTGATCACTCTTGTCAAGGAGGGTGGTCTGCAACTCCCTCCAAGCAGCTAGACTGCAACAGGTATTGAAAGGCACACTGCTGCTGCTGTTCACTGTACAGGAGCACCAAGCTTTCAACAATCACTTCACAGGAGCACCAAGCTTTCAACACTGTGAAAAGACACTGAAAGGTATGCTTGCTGCTGCTCTGGTCACAAACACTGACACCTCACAGGAGCACCAAACCAACCAAACTTTCAATGCTGTGACAAAAAGTTCAGATGCACACCACTACTGCTATTTGTCAATGCTGACACTTCACAAGATCGCGCAGCTTTCTACACTGAAGGAAGGCGTTCAAAGGCACACTGCTACTGCCGTTGTCGCCAGTGCTGGCACCTCACAGTCACTTCACAGGAGCACACCGTCTTCAACACTGCAAAAAGGGCCTTGTCGCAGTGTTCACGGCACACCACATCCACACAACTCTGCTGACCACGGAGACAGAGGTACGGCTTGCCACAGGTCACAAAGATAAACCCTCGAACCCTTGATTTTTTAAACACTCCAACACCGTTCACCAGAATCCTGTTTGGGATGAGCAAAGGCACAGAATATGAGACTTCCAACATGTACCAAAACTCCACCGCACTCATCAATCGAAACACGCTAACCCAGTCGCACATGACTGTACGACATTGAGAGGAAAACCTCAGCAGTGCGAGCGAATGTGATATTCATGATTCTTTCTTTGGATTTATAGATTTTCCCCCCGTGAGGGGGGTGGGCCGATCCCGGAGGCAGTGCAATACCGGGCCAACCCGTGGCATAGGTGAGGTAAACCTCAAGCACTACGCCGCATTCCACAAATAAGATTAATATCTTGGGTCCAAATAGGACCCGTATCAGATATTAAGCTGATAAGAACAGAGATTTTATTGCATGTTATTTACATATACAGGGAGTATGGGAAGCTGTACAAGTCGTAATGTTAGTGGGAATTTTATACATTGGCTAGCTAGGGAAATTATACACTGGTTATAAGAGAAGAAAAATGCTAATACAATGCTAAAAATACGAAAATATACATATTCTAAAGGCGCTTCCCAGCAATGTGGCTAGCATATATGTCCCTGGAGCTTGCTATCGTCTCACTCACAATGAGTTTCTTCATTAGTCGTAAATATGACCTGCTGCATAGTCTCCTGAGGGTGGCATCATTGTCTGGGTCCCAGGACCCTAACGCACCCACGATCACGGCAGCAACAGTCACGCGCTGGTAGCGGCGGCACAGGTACTGCTTGATGGCCTCATACTTCTCAATTTTCTGTTGCCGCGCCTCCAGCAGCGCTGCACGTCTGTTGTCAAAGGGGCAGGTGACGTCAATGATGATGGCCTCCTCACCCCTCGCCAGCACCAGGTCTGGACGCAGGCTTGACTCCCCGACCGGCTGGTTTTCGTGCGTCACCGTGAACTTGGGCGTTGCTGCTGCCTTGATGCGGTTCACGATGTTGTTGTGACGCCGCGTCAGGGCCTGGCTCTGGACCATGCAGTGGCAGACGACGTGTGGCAAGGTTTCTTGCTGGTAGCCACACGCCCTGCAACGTTGGTCGACGGCCGAGGCCCATGGACGCGCTCCGTTGAGTGGCAGCAGGTTGAGACGTGCCCGGTGGATGAACCGCCAGTCGGTGAAACGGGTGTATCGCCCTGACCGCATGAAGTGAGAGCTGGCGCGATCAGCGGCGACACACTCCATCGCCTTTCCCTGGCTGGGTTGTTGGTGCAGCGCTCTGTCGTTTGCTGCTGTCGAGATGCCTCGGAGTGTCCGGATCACCTTGTGGCGATGCTTGGGGGAGATGGTAGTTCCCCCACAGGCGATCCTGGCTCCTTCAGGCACCAGCTCCCAGGTCACGCCGGCGCGTCGGGAGGCTTTGCGGGCCTCTGTCCACACCGACTGGAGCTGCGTTGACGTTGCTCTGAAGTCGCCTTCGGTGTCTCCGGATAGGTAGGCCGCCACGTCTTCTGCTGCAACTGGTCTCCTGAGCCGCTTCTCCGTCACCCTGGTCACCGCCTGCAGTGCCAGGTCACGTACCTCGCTGTCTGGCGACGAGAGCAGCTTGAACGCACCATCAATGCGGCACGCGTCGCTTATGTCGGCTGCTTCCGGGATCCCTGCGACTCCTGCACCTGCACTCCCGTAGAGGTACTTGTTTGAGGAGTTTGCTGGCAGGTACAGCGTTCGTTTGATGAGGGGTCGCAGGGTGTCGTCCAGGCGGCGCCATTCTTCCTTTCCCACAGCCCCAACTCGCATGGCGAAGTTCAGGGCCGGGTAGAGGAATGTTTTTATGGCGTCCAGCCTCTGCCAGGGAGCCAGCATTGAGGACAGCAGGCATCTCCCCAGGGCGATCGCGTCGTCCACGCAGGCGGTGTCGGGCAGGACCCTGTAGCCCACGGGGCGGCCCAGGAAAGTGTGCGCCTCGAAGTCGGTCATGTGGGGGATTTCTGCTTCCCCGATGCAGAATGTTGTAGGCCTCGTGCCCACAGGCTGCCGCCCCGTCAGGTGAAGGGTCCGACACTTAGATGGGTTCAGCTGGAGCCCGAGCCCGGAGGACAGCGCGGTGACGACGTTGATCCTTGTTTGCAGCTCGGCAGGGCTGCCTCCCATGGGGGTGAGGTCGTCGGCGTAGGCCAGGATCTTGTGTTGCCGTTGGCCTCCCTGCACCGCCCGGATCACTGGGTCTAGTACGAGGTTGAAAAGGAGCCCGCTGAGTGGGCAGCCCTGCCGGATCCCTGCTTTGATGGCGACCGGCTCTGTTGTGCCTCCCTCGCTGATGATGGCCGTCGTGTTGTCCTCGTACAGGTCCTGGATGATGCTGGCGAAGGCGTCCCCAGTGCCCGCACCTCGAACCGAGTCGACGAGTGCGTTGTGGGCCACTGACCCGAAGGCGTTGGCGTAGTCGAGGAACGCCACGCACAGGTCACCACCACCTGTTCGCGCCGCGTCAAGGCGCTCCTGCAGCACGAAGTTGTGTTCGAACACACCGTCGTGCGGCAGGAACCCCTTTTGGCATTGCGACAGGATCCCGTGATCGCACAACCACCCCTGCAGCCGGGATGCCAGGCATCCAGCATACAGTTTGGCAATCGTGTTACCAAGGGATATGGGGCGCCAGTTTGTGGGGTCCCTCTTCTCGCCTTTCTTGTGGATGAGCACCGTACGGGACGCCTTCCAGCATGCAGGAACTCGCCGGTGTCGTAGGCAACAGTTGAAGACAGCCGCTAGGAAGCTCCCCTCCGGGTCCACGGTCCTCCAGTGGTGGTAGGTGAGCCGGTCGCCACCAGGAGCAGTGTTCTCACACCGCCGCAGCCGCGCCGCCACCTCATCCTCCGTGAATGCCGCCAGGCTCAGCTCACCAGGGGCAGGCATCCGCCGTGTTAGAAGCGTCGTGTCGGCCTGCTTTGGTGCCCAGACGGTGCTGAAATACGCCTCTAGTTCGTCTGGTGGGATGGGGCACAGTGTTGAGGGGCCCTCCGCAATCAGTCGTACCGCACGGCGGCGGTTGCGGCGGTAGAGAGACTGGATTTGCTGGGCGTTCTGCGGGTTGACCTCTCGCCGCGGTCGTCCGTCAGCAGTGGCATCAGGCAATTTCACTGTGGTGGCTATCACGCTGATGGCATCGTCCAGGATGCTCCCGAACTCGGCCCAGTTGTCTGCATTAGGGGCCCTTGTCAATAGTCGCCGGAGTTTTTTGGTGTGCTCGGCGAGCACTGAGCTGTCATCTTCTAGTTTGGCAGGTGCAGTCTCCACGGTGTCCTCCTGCTGGTCGCTGTTCTGCAGGCTCCCTCCTTGGCTGGGACAGTCCTGGGTGAACAGGCGAGATGGAGTGGCCATCGCGTCCATCGGACTTTCCGCCAGGGTAGAGGGGGTCTCGCCTGTCGCCTGGGTGATGGGGGTGCTCGCGAGGGTGGCTCTGGTGTTGTAGTCCTCGGGGGTGGGGGTGCCGAGCAGGCGACTCTCCTCCGAGCCGTCCCCACGCACTGGACTGGTGCATGGCAGAGGTTGTTGCTCGAGCGTCTTAGGCTCGCCGCTTACTGGCGAGGCAGCTGGCGTTGCAGGTGGTTGTTGCGCCTCTTCCATGGGGGTAGTGCTTGCCTGGGAGCTGGCTGAAGGGCTTTCTGCCAGAGCAGAAGGGGTCTCGCCTGTCGCCTGAATGATGGGGCTGCTTGCGAGGGTGCCTTTGGTGCTCTGGTCCTCGGGGGTGGGGGTGGCAAGCCGGCGGCTCTGCTCCGAGTCGGCACCATGTACTGGGCTGGTACATGGCGGAGGTTGTTGGTCGAGCTCCCCAGGCTCGCTGCTTACTGCCGAGGCAGCTGGTGTTGCAGGCGGTTGCTGCGCCTCTTCCGTGGGGGTGGTGCTTGCCTGGGAGCTGGCTGCTCGCAGTTGCTTCGCCTCCTCTTTGCCGTGCCACTGCAAGTGGTTGTGTAGCCCTTTCCTGGAGGGGAAGGACTGTGGACACTTGTTGCACTGGTACCGCTGCTGAGTGGCTTGAGCAGCTGCTCTGCCATTCGCCAGGCATGGGTGTGATGTCGGCCTTGTCCCCAGCGTAGCCCCACATAAGGTGCAGAGGTTGACCGTGCGGCGAATCCGCATGCCGTGGTCTCCCTCAAGGTGCCGCTGTAGGGATTGTCGTTTTGCAGTCCAGGCAGCCGCAGTGTAAGCAGCTGAGCAGCCTTCCTCTGGGCACTTGAAGACGTGTGGAGCCGGGAAGGAGACGAAAAGCATCTCTCCATCCCGGCGCGGCTGCTGACCTTCACTGAGCACCGATTGGGGTGGGCCTGGAGGGTTCGGTGCCGTTGGCGTCCGAGGCGATGGTACCGGGATGCCACTGCTGCGTCTCCTCGTTCCCGACATCTGGTTGGGCGGCATCGTTGGACTGCAGGCTGCAGGGTCTGCCATGGTGGGGCAGGTCCCCCATCCAGCTCCTGGTTGACCGGGTAAGTCTCAGGGGCAGGTTCCCAGAGGCAGGTTCCCAGTGGCAGGGTCCCAGTGGCAGGGTCCCAGTGGCAGGGTCCCAGTGGCAGGGTCCCAGTGGCAGGGTCCCAGTGGCAGGGTCCCAGTGGCAGGGTCCCAGATACTACACTTTGATCTTAGCCAAAAGGCCGAGAAGCGATAACCCCAATTGTCTTTTAATTTCAAGTCCTTCAAGACTTGAACCCCAAGAGCACATACCACCCCGCCGAGAAGTAAACAAACGCGCACGGCTTCCCAACGCCAAAGTGGGAACCGGTACGTTTTTCCGAGGTTACGCCGAATCAAATACAACTCTCCGACGGTATATAACCTCGAAATGTCCCAATTAAAACAAAATTAATTAAAATAAGCCCTCTAGACACGACGTCGAAGAGGACGACGTCGTACGAGACCTCCGTCGCCATCTCTCGACTCGCCAACAAACTCAAAAGGTCTACCGCAAATTACAGGAAATCCACATAAAACTGCGAGAAAAACAATTCGGAATAACATGCGAAGCACGATAAAAATCAAACGCAACATGTATTCGCACAGGTTCAAAATCCGGATATGTCAAAGTGCTTCCGGCGAAACGTCGTCTGCTATCACAAATGGCAGACGATCCCGTTCGTCCACAAACCGAGCGCAGGACTGCCAAATACTAATACTCTAGAAAAGATCCAGTAAGATACACCAAGAGGAAAACACGCAAATATTTAGTGACGCGAGAATCCCGGAGTTGATGGAAAGCATTTGACCGAAAAAGGCCTTCGCCCAACGTTCAGGTAACGGTTGATATAATTTTATAGTGAGAACTTTTGGAGATAAGCACCGTTGGAACTTTTTCGTGCAATACACATGTGGCGAGATATGTTCACCCGATTTAAGAACGTCGAAGCGTCGGTACCACAGCTGAGAAACCAGTGAAACCTGCGAAGCTTTATCGAGAAAAACTCGTGAATGCTCCTGAAGACGACGCCTGGACGACGCAGACCCAGCCAGCTGACCCAGCATATTCAAGACAGTTCTGAGCGGTTTACGCGAGATGGCGCCAGCATCGTTGCGCCACTTTAGTTTGCCGCTTATTCACTAGATGGCAGTAGTCCCCCGTTCGGTCGCTCGGTCTCATTTTAAAAGGCGGGTAAATCGCTTTAAATAATAGCCCCGAGAAGTTCGCCTGGCGCCCCCTTACGGCGAACCGGGGTGACGTCACGGCGAGGAGAGAATTTTTCCCCGACTCGCCCCGCTCGCCCTGTGGAGGCTGTGACGACGCTAGCTGTCGGCGCGCTCCTTTCTATTTAATTTTTTTTGGCGTGTTTTTCGTAGGAAGTGTAAATTTTTATATATGCCTTTATTGAGGTATGGCCTGTAGCTACAGGCGAAACTTCAACGAACATTTTAAGCATGGCTGACAGGCCAGGCAACGCATGAACCACAGCTGGTATATGAAAATAAAGCAATATGGCCACAATTGCAGGGGCATCACTACAAATTTACATCTCGCACAATAAACGCTGCTGATGGTCCGAATGAATTGGCAGGTTATGTATACTATTTTTTTTTTTTGTATCTCTGTCTTTAAACAAGATCGCCGAAGCAGAAAAGCTGCATGCTGCTCGAGCAACGTGCTAAATACAGTCTCGGCCATGGGGAGAGAATCACAAGTAAAACAGCCCAAGTGCAGGGGCAAAGTAAAAAAAAACAAAACAAGGAACATTTGTTATATACATTGCTCGCACTTGACCTTTGCTGGATTCGCATAGTATTTCAATGGACTACACGGGTGGTGTCTGTGGACTTGTTTATATCAATCCTCAAGTAATATATAACAAACGTAAGTTAAGGTGTCTAGCTCGTTATGCGGAGGGCAAGTTCGTCTGCTTCTTGCGCAGGGGGTAGCGGTGACGTCAGAACGCCGAGCCCTGATTGGCTGATCGCGACCCCCTATCTGAGCGTCGTCTGCTCCTTTGCAACGTCGTCTGCTCGCTACGTCGTCTGCGTCTGTCTTACCTTTCCTGCGGCTTTCGGAAGTGCAGAGGCCAGATTCACGAAACGACCTTACGCCAAAAATGTGCGGAAGACAAAACTTAAGAACAAATTCGTATTCACGAAACAAAATTTTCGTAAGTTTTGCGCAGGATGCAACGAAATCCTACGACAGCTCCGAATCTGTCTTACGCACCTCTTACGATCAAATCAGCATGGCCGACAGCGTCGCGGTCGCGACGACCCACGGACGTTTATTTTTCTACGTGCGCTTCTCACGCGTCCCGACTTCAAGCAGCAAGAAAAAAGTAAAAAGTACTTGAAACAGACCAGAACGAACAAGAACGCTGGATCCACAAACACCTGGGAAAAGTTCCAACGGCCACGATTCCACCGAACGCGACCAAGCGAGCTAGGCCTAGCAGGCACTCCGCGACTCGGCGACCGTCTGCCCACGACCGGCTGGCGTGCTGAATGGAATATGTCCGCGCGACCCTTGTGAACCCTTCCCGTATTATACTTTGATCGCTGGCCTCAATTTTAGATTAAGAGGTCAATTTCTTCCTCTTGTTATCTCCTTGTTTCCCTGTTTCCCAAGGCAGCGGTGACTCTCGCCGGTAAAAATGCGGTGAATCTCCGACAGACCCAGGAAAGGTAAAGCAGCCATCGCTTTGACTAGCAGACGTAAAGCAGACGACGTTAACTGCGCCAACCCGCCGACGCCGTTAAAGAATGAAGGGCCTCGCCGCTCACGAAAAGAGGAAAAAAGTATTTGGGAGGGAACTTGCGGACACTAACACGCTCACCTCTCGGTTCTTAGCAAACAAACCTCGGCGCCTCGGGACACCTCGCCAGTGAGTCCTTTGACTTCCCTCCTTGATGCGCGTCTGCTAGTTGTTAGACAAAAACAACGTACCGCTCGAGTTATTTCGTCTGCCCTCTCTGAAATGCGAAGTCGAGCTCGTTCGTAAGGACCTGCACTTCCGAAAGTCGCAGGAAAGGTAAGACAGACGCAGACGACGTTTCGAGCAGACAACATTGCAGAGGAGCAGACGACGCTCAGATAGGGGGTCGCGATCAGCCAATCAGGGCTCGGCGTTCTGACATCACCGCTACTTCCTTTCTCATGCGCAGAAGACGAAAATGAGCCCACTTGCGAGGCGTATTAGTCCACTAAGCCCTAAATTTGAGATTTTACTTAAATCGAATTGTCCTGAAGCTAAAGTACCAAAGCTTTTCTCACGCAGACTGTCGCCCTTCACAGGTTCCACATTTTCTGCTACCAGTGCTGCATCTTCCACTGGACAGACGTTCGAATGCTTGCTTTTACTCCTGTTTTCCTCTGTTGTAAGAGAGTCCAGTTGCAGGGAGTTTGGAGGCTGAGGAAGCTTTTGGGGACCTGCGGCAGTGACTCTTAAATGGAAATGACAATTCAGACTAAACGGTGTATTTTCCGAATACCAAAGGTTGGAATAAAGAATGTCAGGAAAAAGTATAAACATTCCAAATTACGGCACTATTGCTGTGCATATTTTGGGCAGTTTACTACATATCATAGAGGCAACTGGGGGAAATTCGGCCGTTTTTGCTGCTACCATACAAACTAATTTCCAGTAATTGTGAATCCTCTAAGAAATATGCCTGCATACGCGTATAAACTATATAATTAATTAAGGAAGAACCTACATTTATGTAAAACAACCCTGTTCCATGAGCACTTCAAAGATCATCAGACGCACGGCCTTTAAAACATCTGCAAACCAGCGCATGCAGAGTGGCAGCGCAGAGTCGGGGTCGCGTGCTAATTTGCCGACCACGGAAAGGCCCATGATATAAAGGCCACTTCAGATGCCTTGAAAGCGGGATTTAATGTCGTCCTTAATCATGAACATGCAAGGAACAGAATTCCAGCGTCTGAAACACTTGCGTCACCGCTTCACCGACCCCTCTCAAGATTGCCTTGCGTCGTGTGGACGGACGGGGAGATTCATCGGCGTAATTGCCTCCGCCGATAGTTTTCGGGATTTGTAACCCAATTTTAAAGGTAAAAGGGACAAGCGGGCTTATAAAATGTACGGAAGCACGTTAATATCGGCCTAACTCAGCGTCTTGTACACCGGGTAAACGAAGTCCGACTCCTCGAAGAGCTTGCGGCACACAACGCCAAACCAGGAAACCGGTGCTGGGAAGCGACCCGATGCGAGATCGCAAAGCGGGGTACTCGCCCTGACGTCACGGTACACCTCACCCAGTCAGGGCGCGGCGACCGCAGCGACGCTTGTGTTCGCTCTCGGGGCTAATAGCGTGCGGAAGAACACACCTACGTTTCATCCTAAACATCATTGAAACTTGAAACAACACGCAGTCTAGCCGACGAAGGAAGCGACGGTTCTCGAACACGAGCGCGCGCACAAAAAGAACGTTCGGCACGGCGCCAAAACCACGCAAAAACTCTCCACATCTTATGGAATCGTGCACGAGGCAAATAAAACGCTCGCATTCCGACACTACCGGGTGCATGAAAGAACAATACCCGGCACGGCAACAAGAACAAACGACCGTCATTAGGCCTACCTGTCATCGTCACCCCCATCAACCACAGACTATAAGGTCTTTAAAAGTCCAGCCGCATCTTGAAACCTGAACCACCGCCAGCCGCACGTCTAGTACACACCACTCGGTTCGCGACATTTAAACCCCATGACACGCATGAAAGCCGTACCGAAATATGCGTACTCACACGAGGTTCCGCGACGCAGCAAGCCTGACGAAAAGACAAAAATTAAAGATATGACGATTAAAAAATCCGCGAGGAGGCGTGTGGAAACGAACGATGACGAGAAGCGCCACTTGAAGGAAGTGGAAGTCCCGCGTTCTGCCATTGGTTCCGCTCGTCAGACCTTGGTATGGAGGTCAGGCTTGTGTGTCCAAGGGGAGAATGAGAAGTAGAGCACTGCACG